ATTCACTATAGTTAAAAATTTCACTGTTATTTTTAATACTATTTACGGTCTAATAAAAAACATTGTGCTAAAAGCCGCAAGCATATTTTTGACTTATTTTTTTTCCTTGAAAAATTATGAATTCTAGAATCGAATTAAGATTTAGAAAATTTAAGAAAAACTGGAAAAACAATTCAAATCTGAAAATATTTACATTAAAGTTTTTACATTAAAAAGAGGTCAAATACTAGCAAATATAATTTATTAAAAGATGGTAACACTTTATCCCAATTATTTGTTGAATTATCCTTAGAGAATTTACATGATTTTCATGATTAAGGTAATAAAAAAATTGAAAAACACTGCTTTAAAAATGGTTAATATAATGAAACAAAAGTAATAATGCAATATTTGAAGACAAGGCAAAAAGAAGATTGAAATGAAATGTTACTTTTCTTCTCTTTTTCCCTTTATTTATTTTTCTAATTTATATGCCGACAGGCACTTTCAGCTTTAAGCATATTAAAGTGTTTTAGATAAATTGCTTGCGTATTAAATGCTATAGCAGACATAAATATCTTTTCTTCATCTTCAACAATTTATTTTATATATGTATGTACATACAGTTCATATTATTTTGCTAAGAGTAGCGGGAATTATTTATTATATTATAGAATTTCATATTTATACTTAAGTATAATAATATATTTACATATATATGCGTTTGTATATGTTAATAACAATTATGTATGTGTATCCGTCAATAGCTTTATAACATTTTTTTTATTATTTTATTTTTATATTTTTGCTTTTGCTATTAAGAATGATAAATTGTATTATTATGACAAAACAGGAACAAAGTTTTGTTGAAATATTGCAATCGTAAGGACTCAAATTATGTATATACCATATAAATATGCATATATATTATATATATATCTAATAGGAGATGATTTGATAAAAGTTTAATTCAAAATTGAAATTTTTGAAATATTTCAAAATGCTGAATAACATTAATATAATTGAATGAGAATAAAATAATGTCATCTCTTGAAATGATGGGAAATTTAATTGTATATATATAGTGAAATATATATTTCAAAACGATAGTGCAAAACATCATCTTAATAAAGTGTTTTCATCTCGAAATCGAATAGATAATATGTTAAAATTAATTTATTAAAAAAATCGTAAATTTGGTCATCCTTTTCCTAGTAAATTTGGCAATGTTGTGTTTCTTATTCTTCTGATTTATGAAATAAAAGAACAAAAACGAAAAATATTGCAAACATAGGCTTGTTATACACTATATTATTATGAAAACATGAAAAATTTATATTTAAAGGATTTTAATTTATTATCTTTTTAATAAATACAAATTCAAGCCCTACTCGTAAATATCTTTGGAATTCTGTATAATTAAAAAGATAGAAGCTCTTTTCTTCTATGCTTTAATAATTATTCCCTAAAGAGTACAGGTAATGCTAAATATTTTCCTGTCAAAGTATAACCTATTTTGGGAAAGTCGTCGCCTCTTGGTAAAGGTTTATTTATTTTTTGGTATTGATACGATTGATTTCAATACTTTCCCTCTCTGTGGAAGCTAGAAATTAGGTTCTTCCTAGTTATGTGTATTCTCATTGCTATACATATATAGTATGATATTTTCTGTATACCTCCGTACCTGGTGTTTTGTTAGAATTATTATGGATCAAGATTAGATGTTTCATGGACGCGTTAAGTGCTCATTTCCAGTTCATTTCCCTGATTTCAGCATGTACTGCTATCCAGGTTTTATTTTCTTTTTGTTTCCCAAGGTTTTTTTTCGATTATTGTTTCGATCATTCGTTATTATTTTTAAAGAGTTTTTCTTGAGTCTTTTGGGTGTTCTAGTCTGGACATCATCTTTGAATCTTTGGTCACCTATTTCATTTCAAATTTCTGCTGATTTCGCAGGAATTTTTCAATAAATAAAAAAATTTATAGCAGCACTCACTAGATTTAGTTTACTTTTGGACAATTTAATTTGTATTTTGCTCAATTTACCTAGTATCTTGTCGCATGTGTATTTGAAATTGTAATTTTATGCTATTATATAAAATGAAATTTGATTTCAAATTTTGTTTGGAGTTGAATTAGTTGAAAAATATGTAAAGTATTACAGAACGCTGAATGAAAAATTTTTGAAATTAAGAAACGAAAAAAATTCATTTTCATCCATTCATGTATTTAATGACCGGAAAGGCTTTAGAAAGTGTAAAAATTTTCGTAAAATTTAATTACAATATAAAATAACAAAGAGAAAGAGAAAAAGTTATGTGAGAGTTATAAAATGTAAAGAGCGGGAAAAAACTTGGTAAATTAAAAATACTTTAAAAATACTTGATAATTTTTTTTTTATAATTTTTTATTGTATGTGCATTGTATATGACGTTACCTTTACATGTTATTAAAAATAATATGAAATCTGTTATTAAAAATCACAATGTTTGCAATAGTATGTGTTTAAGTTCAACCAATTTTAAATTTTAAGAAGACTTATGTATTTTCTAATTTCTTCTGGTTATGCCAACAAAAAAGAATATTCTTCGACTTAGATGCATGCTTCAGACCATTACGTTCCGATTTTGAAATCCTAAATATTACGCAACTGATGAGGTTACTATACAATATATACAGAACTCTGTCTAATACTCGATAGAAAATTTTTATGTAATAAAATATAGATAGAGTCCATCTGTAATTTTAGTGAAGCGTAATTATTAACAAAAAAAATCAACTTTAGTTTTCGTCGCTTACCGGTTTGACAACTGTTAGATTTACATTAGACCGCTTATTTTACTTTCTTTCAAATACTTAAAAAAGCATTTTCATCGGATTTTGGAATTCTTTGTTTGAATTCTGTTCCTTTTTATTTAATACACTTTCTGCATGAACGCAAAGTGCATCTCTTCTTAATTGCCAAAAATAAGAATTTCTAACTGCCGATAAATTTATTTAGAAATTGACTGAAAATTAAGAATTTCGAACAAGCCTTAAAACTTTAAATAAATTCTCATAATTCTGAAAATTTTTTAACGTTTCGAGTTATTTCGATATTTTAATATCGTATTAAAGTAACATCTGATATCATGATATTTATGTAATCACCGTGATAAAACAAAATTTGAGGGAAAAAAGGAAAAAAATAGACAGCATTCTTTTTTTTTGTTTATAAATACACAATAAATGTCAAATTCAGGCGTCAAAATTCTGTAATGCATATTCTCTTTTATTTTTTGATATTGTGTTTAAAAATAACCAGAAGGAACTTTTTATTATAAATTTAAAAAGGTGTTTGACATAAATCATAAAAAATATTTATGATAAAATGATTTTCAATAAATCTAAAAAATGAGTTAATCATTTGCAGGGAATGAAAAATTTTGAATTTAATGTAAAGCATAAGAAATAAGATATTGTAGATTTTTAATAAGATAATTTAGTATTTGGTATGTGGGTATATAAGAAAACAATAAGGGTATGTGTATAAGGTTTGAGTTCCAATGAAATTTCTTATTGACGATTTAAATAATTTTTATTTATACATGCAGAATTGAAAGGTGGTTTATTTGATCACAAAAAATTATGTTTAATTCGAAAAAATTTTAAGGACTTTAAACATGGAATTTCAAAATAAATACACTTGTATGTAAAACCTTCATTTAGTTTACTTATTTTAGTTTTCTATAAGTTAATGACAATAGTTTGAACTTGATGTTATTCTCGTACATCATAATAATGGTAATGGTATTTAAATAATTTTTTTTGATTTTTACAAATAAATTTCACCAGAAAATGAACACGAAATATAATTTTATTATGAATATGATAATCGAATATCGATATTAAATGCATATATGTATATGTAATAATGTAATAAAATATAAATAATATTTTACGCATATGTTATATTAAACACTTGATTCATATTGTTTGACATATCCTTGAAATATAATATTTCTAAGAAAGAATTTATTTAAATACACATAAGCACATTTAGTTAGTTAGCTATATATATAATAAATTTTAATGATAACGGAAATAGAAAATGTAGAAGAGTCAGTTCATTTATTTTAATTTTGAATATTGTAATCATGCAAATCATTTAAATTAATATAGCTAGCAAGCTGTGTAATAATATTTTTTTAGAAAATTTCTTTATCATATATTAAAAAATTGCATATTTTTAGGGGTTCGATTTACATAATTGTTTCCCATATATTTTCCAATGTGGTTATGTGGTAAAATTTTAATATTTTATAACAGCTAAAAAAAAGATTTTACTTCTAAAGATTAAAAAATTTTGAAATTTATGTTAATTCTAAATTATTAACATTTTAAGGACATATCAAGGACAAAATTATTAAATATTTGACCAAAAAAATTTGACTTTATAATACAAGAGTAAATCAAAAAAATATTTTATTTTTTTAATATTTAAAGTAATATCTTAAAATTTTAATTTAAATATTATAAGGATGGTGGGATTATAAACGCGGAATTGTGGAGGATGTATCGTCTAGGTTGTATATACAGTTTAACTGTGAATAAATTAACTATAACTTGTAGTTTTATTGTTGGTTATATATATATTATATTTCCAATATTTTGAGGGTTTATTTAGTTGAATTAAGTATAAATTTAGAATTTCGAAATTTTGTGCTCATAAATTAAATTTAATATATCAGGTCTCCATGTAACCATAATGGAACATAATTCAATTAAAATTAAAATTGCATTGGAAAATTAAAATTTTATTAATGATATCATAAAAATTTTTCATAATTTTTCAGAAAACCATTAAATTCTTAAAATTTATGTTAAGAAATATTAAAATTATATATATATATATATATATATATATATGTATATATGTATTATATTAAGACAGGATGTGAGCAAATTATAAAATTAATTTTCTTTAAAATGAATGTTTTTTAATTATTAATAATAATCATAAGTAAATTAAAATACATTACTGTTTTGATTACAATGTTTTCGTTACAAATCTATTGGGAAATCTAAAAAATTAATATGATAATCTTTTGCTTGTCTTCAGTATAATAAAACTTTTACATTAATGTGATTTCCATTTTCCAATTAAAAAAAAACTTTTATGTCAACATTTTTATAGACCCAAAATTTTGGAAACCAAAATTTCAACAAAAAATTAATTATCTCCCATGTAAAAATTAATTATCTCTTTTCATAACATCCTCTCGATAGCAGCAAGTATGTTTGCATATTTATAAATTTTACAAAGCGATCACTATAATTACAGGCGATATATTAGAATGTAAAGTGCACGAGCAACTGATAAATTTTTTTTTTTTTTAAAGGCTTAAATAATTTTCACCAATATCAATTTTATTTTGTATATAACAAAACGTTGTAGAAATTTCTTATGTATGTGTTTGTGAATTATTTGCTTTATACGTGTATGTAAGATGTTGTAGATACAAGGAATGTTATTTGTTTTTGTTGCAATTATATTGTGTATATCAACTTTGTATAAAATCATAAGGCTTTATATTTTTATTATTTTTATTTAAGCTTAATTTTTGTTATGAAATTTTTTGATGTCAAAATTTATGATGATTATTTTATTTAACTTTTTTTGTGAGCTTTTAAATTAAAAAGTTTGTTTCTTATGACATTAAATGAATGTATAAGGAAAAATGTTTCTAAACATATTTTTAATTATAGTGTTAAACGTTTATTGGAAATTGGTAGTGTCGATAAGGAGCGTACACAGATTTATTGGTTCTTTGACATTTTTCTTTAGGAAGCGGAAAAATTGTTCCGTAATAGGTTTCTATCGCAACTGGCTTCGAAAGTAGGGGCTTTTCCAAGCAAAAATTTGTTTTATGCCGATTTTATGGAAAGTATTTACGCTATAATTTCGACTGTGACGGGCACATGCAACAAAACTTTTAGGTATGTGGTGCAGTAGGGTATTTTAGGAGCACAAAATGAACTTCATGCCATTTTTAGTTCAGATTTCAGAACCGTTTAAAAAACGAATTTTTGGTAATTTTTCTAATTTACGGTATTTTTTCGGTAATATTATATGGCGGCTAACCGAAATTTTAAAAGATTCAGCAAATTTGACTTATGTCCTTTAATTTATGTAATAGAATTTTTTTTGGAATTGCTGTTACGGTTTTGTGAGAAATTAATGAGAAAAAATCTTTGAAAAAATATTAAATTAACAATATTTTTTTTATTATTTATTTAAAATTTAGGGCCTCTTAACTGTTTTGTTTACTAATGTTAACTCGTTTAAGGAGTCAAGTGGGATAAAAAACGTTACGGTCATTACCTCTGATTAATTTAATCCAGAACAGCAAATTCTCTTAATCCACTTATTTCTCTCTTTCTATATAATCTGTTTATTTACAATTCTCTTTCTGTGTTGTTTGTAACATGTCTTAGGCTCTTAAATAATAAAAGGAAATGATTACATGCATATTATTGAAAGCTTTATATACAATAAAAGCTTTCATCAGCTGATTTTAAATTGTTAAGGAATTGTTTTTTGTTTTATCCTTTATTTGGGAAAAATATTTTATATTTTCCTGTATATTTTGAATAAAGGTGTTTGGTACAGAGAAATAAGTGATAAGAAGGAAATGAAAAAAAAGTTTCCTCTTTTTATTAACATTTACTACATGTTGTTTTATGCCTTGACTTCTTAACAAGACCGCATTTATTCGTATTTTATTTCCTTGAAAAGGATAATATTTTCATATAGAAATTTTGTTTCTCTTATTTTTGTTTTGTGTATCATGTAAAAATTTTATAGCTGCATAATATGATACGTGACTTTTTTAATATCGCGGATTTTTTTTACAGTTACCTAAAAGTGTGCAATATGTAAAATATTGTATTTAAGGTAATAAGGTATATGTATATTATGTAAATCATAGGTTTTTCTTGTTCATATTTTATTATTACTGTATGTAGCCTCTACCTTGTTCAAGGGTAATATTTTTATTGTGTTTTTATATTCAGTTGCTTTTGTATTATTTTTCTCTGTTAAAGGGCCTTATATTTCAAAGTTATTTTCACAATTTTTTTGAAATTCTCAAAAAACAAAAATATTTGTATATTTTTTTGTTTTAAATCTCAAATTTTTCTATTTTGTTAACGATTTTAATGTAGCTCCTTATTCTTACAATCAATAAAATCAATAAAATCTGTGCGGAATAAACAATGTTTTTAAATTAGTATAAATTTTAAAATAAATAGTTGGCATTTTTTAAGTAAAGAAAGATATTGTTGTACCTTCTGAACCTACGCACCTTTTTCTAAATTTTTAAATCGAAATGTGCTTTTTTATTCAATCCATTTCACTTTATTCTTAATCATTTAAATTCCTGAACATTATAATTGTAATTTTTATGGATTATTACACTGTTATAAAAAATAAATTTCAATACTTTTCAAATTTTCATAAAATTTATTAGAAAACAAAAAAAAAGGAGGAAAAAATAAAGAATTTCAATGTTATTTTCAATTTAATGTGAAAGAATAAAAGACTTAAAATCAGTATGTACAAAGTGTATATATAATGTATGAATGTGTATTGTACATTAGAACATATAGTATATGACCTAAAGAACATCCTGTTAAAAAAATATTCTAATTTAGGATGAGATCCTATTCTAGTATAATATATACTGAAGTCAAAGATGAAGGTTATGAACGATTCTATATAAAGAAAGAGAGACATATGAAAAAATATTTTATAAATATACGAGATATGAATTGGTTTTTTGTATCTCGACTACAATAGGATACTTAGATAAGCAAATTGTCATATTATGTTTTGTTAAAGATTAATGTGTACACAAAGGATTGCTTTTATTTGTATAATGAGGGGCTCAGAAGTAAAACGGTGTAACCGACATAAATTTCTTATCGAGATTTAATTTTTTATTCTCTTAAAATACTCATAAATTTTTTCATGCTATGATTTTTTCGAAACGAAATAAGTAAGAATTTTAGTTTTCTTTTATTTTTATTTTTTTAAGATTTCATTATTTTTACATAATTTTATATAGATTTTTAACAAAAAAACAAAAATTTTTGGAGTTAGGGTTAAGCGACTTCTGAGCTGCTTTTGAGCTCCTCATATATTTTTAGAATAAGTGCCAGATTTATAGTGCATAAAATTACAAAACTGAAAGGAAGTGAATAATTTTTAATATATTTTTATTTTTTTTGTAAGTTCAAATTCCCCTATTCATATCCCCCTATTCAAAATTTCCAATTTTCACTTCTTCATTAAAATTTGATTACATTTTTTTTTACAAAAATTGTTAATTTACAGGAATTAAACTGTTATTGCTTGCAAGCATAACCAAATTTAGAACTAATTTCATGTTTTTTAAATTTTGGTTAGTGTTAAATAAATTTTATTTTATTATGACATTTTGTTTTCAATTAAAAAGATTTTTATTTTGGGCTGCAACTGTGTTTCAAAATTTTTCAATCTTACGTTATAAACGAATAAATTATTTTGAAATCAAAGCCTGAAAGTTGCTAAATACCGCTGCACCTACAGAACAATAACGTTGTAACAGAAAATACCAGAAATTATTTTTTGTGCTTTATTTTAAATTTTATAAAAAAATTTGCCAACTTAAATTTTCATATGAAGGAATTTATGAATTTTTGAAAAAAAAAAAATAAACGCAAATGCGATTTCTTAAAAGATTATTGCCGCTAATGTAATATTGTCGCTGTTTCTGTCTAACGTTTTACTAAATTAACAGTCGTAAAATTAAAACTTTTTATTAAATGTAAAATAGTCTGATTTCAAAATATTATAAAAATTTCCCTATGTTGTCGAAATTCATGCAAATTTTCAAGTAAAAAATTTCTTCTCATAAATTTTAGATGCCATGCCGCAGTATTGTTACAAAGGGTGCGAAATTTTCATAGAATTTTGGAACAAATTAAACATGACATTCATTATCTTTTGACTTTTGAATTTTTGTTTTTTAAATTTTTTATTTTTTTAATTTTACAATGAATTTGAATAGACGTTATAAATGAGAAAAAATAACCATTAATATATAATGTAAAATGTTGGTAGAGGTGAAAATTACTGTCATTGGTCACGTTCTTTATTACCTTTTCATTTTTCATTTTTTCACTTATTTTTTCCTATTTTTTTTTTAAATTAGGAGTAATTTAAAATAAAGAATAACATCCTGTATATACAAGATGCGTGCTAAAATTCACTCTAATGTACTCGCGTATATTATATATATATATATATTATGTAAAAAATTGCGAACAATATTTTGAATCCATTTAATGGTTGAACTAATTTAAAGCCTATTAAAGAGACAGGGGGACAAAGTAAATATGAGAAAAGAAATGAAGTTATTCATCTGAAAAAAAGGAAAAAATAAAATCATTTTTTTTTTTTATTTTCTATATTCTCTCCATAAAATGTTTGATAAATATATAGACTTATATATGTATATATATATCTATCTCTTTTACTCATACAACATTAAAGAGTCTTATTTGTTACCTTGAGGGTCACATTTTTTTTTAATTGGGTCATACAAACTGAAATACCAAAAATAGAAAAATGTCACAATACTCTCTTTATATTTTATAATGTAAACATATACATTTATGTATATGTATATAATACATTGTACATAATATACACATAAATATTATTATAATGGAAGGTAAAATTACTGTTCACCTTTTCCTAATTAAAATGACCATCAGAAATAATAATGAGATATAAAATAAAATTGTAAAATTTTACGAGAATTTGTGGTTTTTACAAGGCATATCAGATTTTTTCACATTTAATTTTCCAACTTGTAAGTGAAATTTGTTTCTCTTTTTTCTTAATGTGTCCTTAAATTTCTTTTAATGATTTAGCGAGTTTGATCGTTTGACCAAAGATAAAAAATTTTATGCAAAAGTTAAAAGGATTACAAAATGAAATGGAATAAGAAAGAATTCATTTGAATAAACTATGGACAAAATTGAGAGAATAAGAATAGGAGGTGGTTGTTGTGGTTGTGATGGTGGTGGAAGAGCAAAAAGTTAAATTAAAATTAATGGTTTGTGAACAAATATAATAGTAATACGAAGACATTGATGAAGAATAATATTAAATATCACTCCAAAAAAGAAATAAAAGGACTCGTTTCCTTGAACAATTTTTTATTCTTTTTTTAATTTATTTAAATTAAAATTATTAATTCACTAATTATTTATATAATGTAGTAGGTTAATTTAGA